GGTTTTTACCCAGTCAGGGCTACCGCCGTTGCTCCTGGCTCTGCCCCCTGCAGCTGAGCTGCCGGCTCCTGGGCAGGTCCTGTCGAGGACTTGAGGCTCCCTCGGTGGCTCTTGTTGCTCTGAGTTGAGGCTCCTGGACGCTGATCTCCCCCCGCTCCGGTGTTCAAGGCGTCCTCTCTCGAGCTACTCACCTCAGCAATTCCATGTCCATTCATTTGGAAGCTGACCCTGCTTTAGAGAGGCAGAGATCTCAAACTAAGTAAGTCTGCATTTTTTATAATTTACCCTATCAAAATGTTCTGCACGTATTCCTTTTATTAAAAGAAACAGGACATCCAAAAATTCAAACAAGTTCACAACTTTACACCATGCAGGCACTGGAGTTACGAGGATATATATTTCTCCTTTAGCATGCATTTTACTACATGGAGAATGTTTTGTATTTTTCTAATGACAGAATCATAGAATAGCTTGGGTTGGAAGGAACCTTCAAAGGTCACAGAATCCAAACCTGAGTCCAAGACCCTTGCAATGAGCATATATTCAGCTTTCTTGCTGTCTACTGTATTTTTTTTTCATGGTGTAATCTGTTCAGTTGCCAGTATTTGACACTCAGCTACTAAAATGTTGTGAGATTTTAAATGTGTATTTATGTTTTAGCTGCTGAATCCCAGTTTTACCTCAGTAGACTCGCAGCTGATCCTACATATCATTTTGGTTTATCAAACCAGTGGTTTTGAAAGCTGTTCCAACTAACACTTGTAGTTAAACTACAGCAGCTACAAGAGGACTTCCTAATTTCTACCTGTGATGACTAACATTAAATCAGATTTAGATGATAAACCACATCAGCTCTAACAGAAGCCAGTGTGCTGTCTCTTGCAGATGAGTGGCCTAAAGGTATTTTACACTTATTTATATAAATTAGTAAGTATGTCTCACCTCAGAGTGATGTTTTCAATAATGCAAAACTGACTGAACCACAAGACATATCGATGTAATATTAAACACTGGATTTAAATTCACAGAAGCAGGAATGCTGACAACACAGCTCAAACTTGCAGTTGTTTAACTGCAAGTTTTGAGACTGCATGTGCTTGAGGAGAGAACTGCTTGGCTGACGCAAGGATGCTCTGTCAGGATATATTTAGAAAGAAAATGAAGTGAAACAAACCAGCAAAACCCAGATTCTGACACCTCTGACTGCTTGAAAATTTAAGCCAAAGCTCTATTATTGTACGTAGCAGAGTGTTGTTCAATTCAATAAATGGAACAGAATCCATTTTTTGTTATATTTAGTTAAAATATACTGTTTGCACATAGCAAATTTCAAGAATTGCCAAAGCACAGAAATACAGGTACCATCTACGAGTCTCAACAAATCACAGACAGGACTAATACAAGTGCCTCTTATAAAGGCTTCCCAATGCTTCTCAACATGAGACCGTGTTTTACTGTACTTGCAGCTACTCAATTTTGAGGTATGAACTGATTTTCCTACATGAGGTGTCGTGTACCTCACATATTGCTGTGTGGAAAGGTTAATCCATAACAGCTCAATCATTCCACAGATAAGACCAAGAACAGCATAGATTTCAGTGTAATATGGTTATCTAAAGAAGAAAAAGTTACGGTTCAAAATGCAACATTATATTTAAGTATTGGCCAAGAAAAATTAAAGTAATTATTATAATTGTAGAGTCAAGCAGTCAGGTTGGGAAACACCGGAATTAAGAGTCAAGGACCTACCAAAAGGTGCAGGAGGGTGTGTGTACTATTTCACCGAAGACTCACACCAATGATGGTAACAGCAACATGGCTTTGTAAACATGGTTTCGAAATCTCCCATTGAAAAACACTAAGATAGGGGCTTCTAAGAAACTTACCAAAATGAAATTTGGGATATTCTCTATGGGATAAATCTCTAGAAATTTCAGGTTAGTCAGCCACTTAATACTAAATTTATGGTGGCAAGAGTAGAAATAAAGCAGCCACCCATGTCCCAAAATCAAAAATAAAATCCACACAAGTTTTTATCTATTTTATTTAGAAATAAAATAAAATGTGACATTTCATCTAGAAGCCACTGACATACGATGTGGCAAAATCAAACATGGAGATGTGGTTTTAGCTTTCAGATTCCTCTCAAATAGCTTTGGGCAAGCCCAGATACACCAGAGGACACATCTGTTTAAGGCAGTCGCTGGAGTTCGAGCTTATCAGCAGATGGTGCTTCAAAGACGTCATCTTCAACACTTTCTTCTATTGGCTTCATTTTTGTGGAAGTTCTCAGATAGGGAGATGTCCGGCCTGGGCCTGTCACAGTTACAGGGAAATTACAAATTAATTTTACAACATACACCTACTACATACATCTATTTGGTACACAGTCTGCTAATCCTGTCCTAGTTCCCGCATGAGAGGATTTTATAAGTGAAAGCTTCTTTGTTATTTGACCACAGGTATCAGGAAATCCTAGATGTGGGACAGCCATGCTGCAATGAACCAGCAACATCTCCAAGGTTCAAACCCTGTGGCCAGGCACAGGCACAGTATTCTCCCCAGATTGAGGGCAAATCCTGACTTCTTGAGGTTGCCCAATGCCATGCTCCTGGCAATTGTTTTCTTACTGTTACTCACCCACTAATTCTCCATCATGAACAACACCATGAACGGCTGCCTGATGTACAAAGGGGAAGTACACCTGCATGCTTGCCTTGGCTGTGAAAGAATTCCTCAGTGTACTGGGCAAACCTCAGGTGGGTACATGATCACAGCCCTAACTGCCTTAAAAGCATGATAATGTAAAACTCAGAGAAAATATAATACCCCCATAAAGAACCACAAAGAAAATAAGATTAACAGGTGAAAGTCACTTTTGACTGACAGTGATTTAATTCCTCCAAAGCAGCAATTCATAGAGCTGGCCAGAGCGGGATGCACACCACAGCTATTGCTGGTAAAACACTAAAAGGAGTTTTTGTGCTCCAGAGGTAGCTGCAAGCTACCTCTACTGTTGTCACGTTTTCAGCATGAGGGCTAAACCAGAGAACTCCCTTGACATCAGCCAAGCAGGTTTATTTTCTATTGTTCACTCTGAAATTGCATATGTACTTGGACATTTTTTTCTCTCAGTACTTCCTTCTAGAGTTAGACCACCACAGTGCCACAAGGTTGTAAACAGCTAGTGTATGATGACCAAAAAGATTAGGTACATCTTTGAAACACCATTTGAGATGAAAAGAGCAAGAGGTAGTGGATCTGTCCGATTATTTGTATACAAGCTAAAAATTCAGATTTTCTTGAAAAAAATACTGCTAGCCATAACATACACTTCTTGCAGGGCTGTTCTTACGGCTTTAGAAAAAGCTCATCAGATATACAGTAAAGTACTCTGTTAAGGAAGCCTATTTATGAAGGACTCCTTTGTGTTGCATAAGGATAAAAAAATAGGTCTTATAGGCAAGATCAGTGGGTTAGTATTATTGTATTTTTAAGTCACATTCACACAAACACTGTTTGGAATTAGCTTTTTAGAACTTGTATGTTGAAAAAGTATTAGAGTTTTCTTTTGACATTCAAAAACTTATTTAAATGCCATGATAAGAGATTACTCAAACACATTTTTAAATACTGGAATTGTTAAGCACTTCTTTTCACACAGATGGGTTTTTATGGCCTAAACGAGTGATGACTAGATCATTTAATTGTCTAAATCCAAGGTTTGTGGGTGCGCTTGGACACAAGATTGACTTTGCTGGGAGACAGCAACAAATTGCACTCAAAGGTGAAAGGATGCCTGAAAATACTGAGTTAGTTGTTGTTGTTGTTTGTTTTGGGTTGTTTTTTTTTAGATCTTTTATAAGTTTATTGCCATTTTAGAATTGTTTTCTTCTGTTTAAAAGTGTTTAGTTCTCTTCAGAAGAAGCCATAAGCCTGTTCAACAGGACCCAATGTAAGGACTAGTACTGGCAAGTTATATCCTCATTTTCTCCAAATACAAAAAACTTGTCTGCTGATGCCTCTATCCAGCACTGGACTGGTGTTCAAGAGATTGAGTTAGACCTTGAACCCAGGCCTTCCATACACCTCTCTAGAGGATTTGTGACCAAATACCTATTAAAATGGCATTCCCCATGAAATTTAATTCTGCTTTTAACCACAAGCTGCGTATAACATAGGGAACACACATAATGAGATAATACCAATAAAAATGTTACCAAAACAAAACCTTTTTACATCCCTGTTTAGCTTACAAGTTTGCAAATACAGATTTACTGACCAGCAGGTTGAGTGATCTGAACCAAATAACATAGAAAAAGACTGTATCACTACTAAGTATATGAATTACTATCAAGCAATAGAACTATTGAATAGAAACTAATACTGAAATGTTTCTTAAAGAACTGAAAGTCAGGTGAAGCTACCCTTTTGATCAGGTTGAACTATTTCTGCTTAATCCAAATTTTGGAAAAGAGATACATCAATTTCATTTACTAATAAATTATAAACAGATGGATCATGGATATCAAGCACAAGTAGCACATGATAACAAAACCTCACTTTAATACCTTTTTGAGGATGCTCGCTGAGTTAATGTGATGTTATCAACAGAAAACATCATGCTGCAAACGACTCACTCCATAAGCATTATAGAACTCTTGTTGGTTATTTCCTTAATATAAAAGCAAACAGTTAGTTGGGTTTCTTAGTTAATTAAATGCAAAACACAGCTTTGTTAGTAATTGTAGTTTGGGATCTAGTAATCAGTATTTTTCATCTTTTTGGTACTAAACACTTTGAAAAAAGATTTATATCAGTTTCTTGATTTCAATGAGTCAAAGCTTATTGTTTGTAGCACAGATAAAAACATCATTTAAAAAGTTTGGATTATGCAAAAATATAAATGCTCAATTTTTTAAGAATATGGAAATTAGGAGAATAAAATGTATTTGTAGTTTACTAGTCAAATATCATACTTATAATGGGAAGCTTTGGTCCACACAACAATTAATCCCCTAGCAATGACAAGACAGTATTCCCGCACCGATAGGTTTCTCTTATTAATTTCTTCTTCTAATTAAAAAAAAAAAAAAGAAAAAAAAGTTTGTAATTTCCATATGTTACTCACTAAAACTTCTGGGGGTTTTGGATTTTGCTTGATTGTTTTTAAATAAAGAAATGCCTGATTGCAGAAGGAGGATACAGAGACATTAAGCCTCAGCGTATAGCTCATACTGAATCTTAAAAAACAGACCAAAGTTGAAAACACAACAGTGGTAAGGTAAATGGCAGCTTTTTTGGTTCAGTTTTCCCTGTTAGCTGAGAAAAAGTGTATACATGGCCACAATCCACATTGAATACAAATCTTTAAGCAGAGCTCACCTTTGTAGCAAACCCATCATTGGCAATGACAGTACCCAGGAATAAAAAACAAGCTATCTTGGCAAAAAGAGAGATTGAAGCATTACAGTTTAGTGAGATAAATAACCTTTCATCAAGAATTCTTATCAATGTTTTACAGAAGTCAGAAATCTTGCATTAATCAAAATGCAAAGAAGAAACAAATGACAATATTTCCTGGGATGTGCAATACACTGCTTGTATGAATAGCTCGTTTGCCTCCCCAGAAGTAAGGGAACCACTGGAATTCGGAGGCTGCCACACCTATTGTTGCCAGTGGGGTGGTGGCAATGGCAGTATCAACTACACCAACTGCTGTTGGACCAAGCAATTTCAGAATATAAAAGACATTTAAACCCTTCTTTTGGGGAAAAAACATCCCAGAAAAAATACACCAGAAAATACGGTACACAAACCAAGGAAAAATAAACAGAGAAAAACGTATTTATCAAGTATGTGCTAAGCATGGATGCACCTTACGAATTAATGAAATTATTGCTGAACATGTCATGCATTTAGATTACTTCTACCAAAGCTGAAATACTGGTGTAAGCATTTTGCTAAGCCTGAAAGAGAATTTTAACTAATTGCACAAACACAGTTTTTACAATTTCTTTCAGGCTTCCGAGTGTGCATATTTGTCCAAGGGCTCTCTGCACAAAAGAGTGGCTTCAATTTCATGAAGCTTTGCCGCGGAACAGGTGAGAAGCCAGTTGAGAGCCTATGGGTAAAGAGCAAAGAACAGACCAACACAGGAGACTTCATAGCGGGTATCTGCTACAGGCTGCCTGATCAAGTAGAACAAGTAGATGGAAGCCTTCTAGACAATTGGATGAAGCCTCATGATCGCAGGTCTTGGTACTCATGGGGAACTTTAACCACCCCAGTATCTGGTGGAAAGGCATCAGAGGTGGGATCAAGCAGTCCAACAGATTTCTGGATAGCGCAGCAGACAATTTCTTCACACAAGTGATGGGTGAGCCAACGAGGGAAGTTGCTCTGCTGGATCTGTCACTGATGAACAAGGAAGAACTCATCAGGGAGCTGAAGGCTGATGGCTGCAGTGTCCAGGAGCTAGTGGAGTGTAAGATACTGAGAAATGTGCAAGACAAATAGTAGAGTTACAACCCTTGACCTGAGGACAGGGGACTGTGACTTGCAGGAACCTGTGGGACATGGTCTACAAGGGCAAAGGGACCTGAAGACAGATTGTTGACCTTCAAGGACACCTTCTTTAGAACACAAAGAGAGTCTGTTCCAGTGTACAGAAAGTTAAGCAAGCATGGTAAAAGGCTGGCACAGATGAACAAGAAAGTCCTGACAGAGCTCTAACACACACACACACACACACAAGGTGAAAGCAGGGATGAGCTGCTTGGGGTAGTACAGAAATATGGTCCAAGCATGCAAGGATGGAATTAGGAAAGCCAAGGCTCAGCAGGACCTGGATCTAGTAAAGGGCAACAAGAAGGGCTTTTACAAATACATTGGCAACAAAAGGAGGACCATGGAAACTGAGACCATGGCTCAGTGAGGCACAAGACCTAGTGACATGGAAAAGGCTGAGATATTCAGTATCTTTTTTGCTTCAGTTTTTACTTTACAGGTTTGTTTTGAAGCTTCCTAGGTCTCTGTGTCTCGTGGCAGAGACTGGGAGAGCGATGTCTGACTTATTGGAAAGCTGGACTGAGTTAAGAAGCACTTAAGTCAACAGGGCATATGCAAGATTGTGGAATTACATGGGCAGCATCCAAGGTGCTGAGAGTTGGCTGATGCAATTGCAAGACCCCTCTCTATCATCTTGGAAAGGTCATGGCGGTCAGAAATAAAAGCCAATGTCATGGCCATTTTCAAGAAAAGCAAGCAGAAGCACCCAGGGAACTACACCCAGGCCTATTGGCTATTGCCAGAATGATCATGGAGCATGTCTTTCTGAAAGCCATGTCCAAGCACATGAAGGATGGAAAAGTGACTGGGAACAGACAGCATGGATGTACCATGGGCAGATTGTGCCTGACCACTCTGACCACCTTCTGTGGTGAGATGACAAGCTCTGTGAATGAATGGAGTACAGTGGATGTCATTTACCTGGACTGTAACATGACCCCCCACAGCCTGACATAAAACCCTTTAACCACATGGGTGAGAAATTGACTGGATACATGGATTGCAGCTTGGGTGAAAAATTCGCTGGACTGCTGAGTTCAGAGGGTGGTGAACAGCAGTACAAAACCCAGCTGGCAGTTGGTTACCAGCCGTGTCCCTTGAGGGCCTATACCAAGGTCTATAATGTGCAATATATTGGACCTGGGTGATGGGATGGAATGCACTTCTGCCAAGTTCACAGACAACAGCCAAATAGTGAGAGAAACTGTTGACAGGCCAGAGGGCAGAGTGGCTGGTAGGAACATGCCTTCAGACACCAGAGAAAAGAACTGAGATAAACCACATGAAGTTCAACAAAGGCAAACTGCTGCACGTGGAACATGACAGACTTAAAAAGCGGTACAGCCTGGGCATCAACTGGATGGAGAGCAGCTTTGCAGAAACAGACCTGGCAGTCCTGGTGGAATATGAGCCAGCAGAGTGCCCCTGCAGTGAAGAAGGCCATCCATATATTGGGCCATATTAGAAAGAGCATAGCCAGCAGGTCAATTTAAGAGATTAATCTACTCTATTTGGTACTTGTGAGACAAGATATGGAGTGCTGTGTCCAGTGGGCTTCCCCATACAAGAAAGGCATGAACACACTGGAGCAAGTACAGTGGAGAGCAACCAAGATGGTCAAAGCCTGGAGCACGTGACATATATGGAGAGGATGCAAGAACTGAGTGGGTTCAGCCTTATAAACAGAAGGCTCTCAGGGGACCTTACTGTTGTCTTAGGCTATCTAATAGAAGGGTATACAGAAGACAGAGCCAGACTCTTCTTGGGGGCATACACTGAAGAACAGAGGACAACAGTCATGAGTTATAATAAGGGAAATCTTTCATCATGAGGGTGGTAAGGCCCTGGAACAGGTTGCCCAAGAAAGCCTGTGAAATTGTCCACTGCAGACATATTCAAAGCTTGACTGGACATGGCCCTGAGCAACCTGCTCCAGCTGACCCTGCTTTGAACATGGGGTTGGGCTACATGGGATCTCCAGAGGTTCCTTCCAACCTCAATTGTTCCGTGATTCTAAATGTCCTTTCAGGGAAGAGAGGAGAAATACAGAAAACACCACTGAAACTTTCATCAAACTGTATCCTAGATGTCACCCTTGACATTCTAGCAGGGAAAACACTAGCAGGGCTTTTTTCTTCCACCTATCTGGGCATGCAGCCTATACCAATGTTAAGGAATGAAAACAGATAGGCCCTCCAAGTCTGAAGGACCTCCTAGATAAGAACTGGGAGGAACACAATGATAAATTGAAAAGTCTAAATACTTTAAAACACTTTATCTTCTTAGCAGAGTATAACCATAATCAATAGCTGGCAGTGATATTTTTCCTTTGAATTCTAAATACTAAAGAATAATATTTCCCAAATCAAAATAACCAATCCTGTATGATTCTTTTAAATCCAGCTAAACTAACTGCTTGCGGCAAATGAGAAAATTGCGCATCTTCTGTTTTTTTTTGGTTTTTGTTCAAAAGCTGCCTTCAGAGTTCAGGTAACTGTTGAAGTTTAGATTCAGGGGAATTAAAAATAAACAACAGCAAAACCCCAGAAAAAAAAATAATTCAGAAGGTTCAATAAAGGAATAAATTCTGAGAGTAGAAGCAAAAAGGTCATACATAGTTTCTCCCCTCACTTTAGCTGTTGCCTACTACTCCTGTCATACAAAAAAACAGGAGAGAAGAGCCTGACAGGTTAATTGGAGATTTTCCACGTGGCATCAAAATAATGGTTGTATACCATATTTCTCCAGACTGCCATCTATCTCAGGGGGAAACACAAAATGCCAAATCGTTGAGGGTAAATGTTTTGGGTTTTTAATTTCTACAAGCACCAGTCACAGACCAAAGAAGATACTACTGTGACAGGCACTGTACATTCACTGTTCTGCACCACTGATATAAACATTCCATATTACATCTACACATTAAAATGATGCCAAAAATTATTACAATATATGTTGGGGTTTTTGCCAGTATCTACGTGAGGTAGCTTCAGTTAGCATACAAAGCCTTATGCATCATATGAATTCCCTACAGTTAGGTTCTTCCACTTAGTTGGTGTGCAGCAGCATTCAAAAAGCTACAGTCTGCTTCCACTGAAGGCAACAGGAGTTCTGCAATCATCTCTAACGATAACCAAGCTGTGCTCAAAACTGGCACAAACAATCCTGAGCACTCACGAAGAGAGGATGCAGAGGAAGTCCCGCGAAGAAACATCTGCAAGCCATCCTCACTGTCACTGGTACTGGCCATACTGTTTCTCATCTGCATCACAGAGAGCTGTGAGCAAAGACTAGGCTGTCGATCAATCTTTTTTGAAGCCTAAAAAATATAAACAATTATAATTTTATAAAAAGGTATCAAGCAACTTAAAATTGAAATTATAAATGTTTCCTCTGTAGTAGATGCTCTGGCCTCAGCTATGACTATTTGTGGATCAAGAAACTGGCTAGACCAGATGATTCTATGCAGAGTATATTGATTTAAATGGAAATAAAAGATGCTGGTAATACACTGGCATTAGAGCATTGGCAAGCATGAAACCTTAGGTTAATTATTCAATTTTAATCCTGCTTTGCACTGGACTTTTCATGTATTTTCCTACAGAAAGGTTGATTTTTATTATTTTGGTAATTCATTATTTAGATATGATGCTCTGCAATTAAAATATAGCCTTTATGATAAGCCTGGACCTCCTTGAGAAACAAACCAGCATGGTGTATATAGAGTTTAGCAATTATGTCTTAACTGAAATTTGTTCACTTTTCTGGCTTTTCATTTCATTTGTCATTCCTTCCTAGTAGATGATCACTTGGCTCTTGATTTTAGTGAAGACAGATTAAATGCATCACATGAACATTATCCTCTGCTGGGAAAATGGTCTCAGGAGCTTCCATTTGCTTTTGAGTAGTCTTTCTGAGAAGTCTTTTACTATAATATTCATAAGGAACCATACATTGTACCCTGCTAAGTATTACTGCAAGTCAGAATGCTATTTCAGGTATGTGAAGGCAGTAATGAATGACAAGAGCATCATGGATAACTCCAATTTACTGAATTTTGAAAGTCAGGAATTGCCACCCTATTTCATGTGGAGAGGAATGACTGTTTTCTCAACAGCAGTGAAAATCTCCTTAGGTAGGATAAAATTACAGGGTTCCTTACAAATAAATGGATGCTTTTTGGATTTCCAAAACAATGAATTTATATTCTTATCTTTTTACTATCATCTTGATTATGAACAACCTATACTGAATTTTATTTGTCCTCTTGCATGTCCCCTGTGTACAGGAGTCAACCACAAAATTTTCTCTTGAGATTGTCAGGAGTTAGAAAGCATTAAAGACATCAGTAATATGTATATTTGACAATGAAGACTGTGAGTCATAGAGTGCTGGCAATGGAGAAATGAAGGAGAATTTGTCCTATGTTTTGTAGGAAGGGCTTGTGCAACAGGATTTTCATTTGAGGAAGAATACAAAGGTACTACAAATTTCCTAAATACTCACTCTTCATTTTTATAACTCATTTTCAAAAGTCACTGTGATAAAACAGTTACAATAATCTGAAATTCATGTGACTATTGTCATTAAAAATAAAATCTAGTAAATTCACAACTTTCCAGAAATAACTATTTAACATATATATATATATAATTATGGGCAGTCTGATGAGATGGATTTTTGTGCTGTGGTAGTGTGAGTTAAATCAATACAGACAGAATATGAAAATACTGTATTAGAAAATTATAAAACTTTCCCTAAATGACAGTGAAAGTTTTTCAAATAATTTTTATATAAGAACCCTACAGCCACTACATAAATAATAACAACAAAAAACCCAAGCAAAACCACCATCAGCCGAGTTACCATTCAAATTTTGAAAGGCCATGTATCTAAGTAAAAAGTTAAAATGAAAATAAAACAAGATAATTGATCTATCCATGACTACACCCAGGCCACTTACTGTGACACCTAAAACACATTCCCTCTACATGCAAAGAATAATGAGTTATATTGAGACCACTGAATATTTTATATGCAATTTTATACGTAATTATATACGCATATATTTATCTGTATTATATTATCTGCATTTATATTTATGATTTATTAGACGATTTTTATCACCTTATATGTATTTATTATATGTCTTCATATGTATTTATATCTTTTATATATGTATCTCATGCCTCCTTCCACTAACTACATCCTATCCACTTATTGTTGATATGCAAGCAAATTCTTGAAGAAAAAAACCCTGAAGCTTCTTTGTCCAAAGGCTCCCATTTGTTGATGAGAAAGGATATCCAGGATGAAGCACCTATGCCATCATGTCTCCTAGTTGGCTAGAAATATCTGCAGTAGCCAATCAGTTCTGAATCTCAGTTATTAATCCTTCTTGCACATTATTGTGCTAACTTTAACCAATATTGCTGCTAACAGAATTATTGCACTCACACTTTGGCACTAAAAGGCAGCAAGTGTGAATTCAGTAGCTGATAGCAGCAGGTTAAAAGAAGGTGCTTTCAGAGGATCTAAAATTGAAATAACAATAAATGTGCATGTAGGAGGAAAATTCCCAAACAAAACCTCAGTTGCTTACCTTGTCATTTAAGGTAGGGTCATTCAATGAATAGAGTTTATTTGTAATATCTTTGCCAATAAGATACTTAAAGATCTCATAAAGAAATGGCTCAGATTCCAGAAAATAAGTCAGCCTTTCCCTGGACCAGCACAGGAACTTGCAGTTATCATCTGCAATAATGGTGACCTGAGAAAATACATGCTCAGAATTAGCACATTTAAAAATGTTTTAAAATTAGCATATTTAAATAAGCTTTAAAATAAGTTATACCATTTTATTTGTGCCTGCAGTTACAATAACTCTTGAAGCATAAAACATGTTGGTATTCCTCAGAACACGATATTACTTTTACATATATCAAACTTCTCAGATATTTATTAGCATGATATTTTTAACTGATAAGCTTGGCCAGGTTGTTTTCCAGAAAACCTGGGGGACATAACAGGGGAAAATCTCTCATAAATGTAAAAGCATTTACTTCAGAGAAGATTTACATATAAAGTCAGTCCTACAGTGATGATGCTACTTTCATCCCAAAAGGCCTGTATGTTACTTGGTTTTGTTTTATATTGCTGTCACCAAACAGGAGTAACCAGCATAATCCAAAAGTCTCCATCAAAGAGCTTTTAGTGAGTTGAAAACATCTTTTCCTCTTCCGCTCTTCATTGTCAGCCCTGCTGATCCCACAAGTGCCCCTTTCTAGCAGTTGAGCTAAGGCTCCATTAGCTCAGTTACTGATAATTCAGCTATTGACAGTTATAGAGGAGCTTCCACCCTCTGCAGGGAGGCTGGACCCAGGTTCATCCCCCTGTGCTGGCGAAGGACAATGGCACATGGTAACCTGCACCACTCAGTGATCCCAAACAGCATGTTTTGCAATGTGATGACAGTCACCTACGAAGAATTCAGGTGCTCTCTGCTACAATAAACAAGCTTTACCTTTGAAAAAATTAAAAATATATAAAGGCTAAGAAATAATGAGAAATGTATCCATGGATTTTAACTTCATGGTCTGTAATATAAGCACACAGGCTGAAAAAGAATATGCCAGCATTGCCAGCAGATGGGGTGCTTAAGATTGAATCCATGTCCTCTTGCAATAGCAACACTGAAAGTGTTTATACAAGTAGAACTCAGAGTGAAAGATGTACACAGCTCCAGATTATAACAATGTTTCAGGCAGGCAGAAGTTCAGGCATGAGCATTTTCCCTTCACAGGGATCAATCTGTATCCCATTGCTTACAAGAGAAGCAGGCTGTGCCAAGAGGACACCTCACTGCTGCGAAATGAGTATGTCTGGACAATTCTCTCTCCTTGGCATTAAGCCTATTATTTGACCGGAACGTATGACATCAATCATTGATTTTAGACTCTACATTGCTCTCCCTCTCCTTCTGCCAGGGTACCAGGGTGGATCAATCCAGTCAGCCACAGTCTGGTCATTATTACACATACCCAGTTCAAGAACATAATCGTAAGAGGTAGCGAACCAGTCATGTCAGTACTGTGGGAAAAACAACTTCTTTAATACTATTTTTTCCCCACAACCTACAGTACAATATATCCTAATTACACTGCTAGAAACATATACCCTTAATGTTCCCCATATGAATATTTTTTTTCAAAATAGTGTGATCTCTTTCACCTATGTTGCTTTAACAGCCTTCAAAAGGACAGAATCATTAATATGTTTAGATAAATACCACTTTCAAACTCCTAGTGCCTGAATTTTTAGTCTTCCATTTTAGTAATGATTATGATAATTATTTTTCCTTTTCAGTTTTTTAACCACTGATGAGACTGCTTACATCACCTCTTTTTCCAGTAAAACTATCTCTTATATTATTTGTCCTGAATAATCTCTTAACACAATATAAACTTGGAAACACTAAAAGAGAACAGAACACCAAAAGCCAGACTGCTCAGCAAACATCATCATAATATTGCTTTGCAGCATTTAATTTTAAAAGTTATTCTTGATATGTTCTATCATAAAATACCAGTGCTAGAAAGCTATCAAAATTACGCTAGTCAAATAGTTGATCAAATTTATACTCTGTTTTAAATGATCTCATCAGCTCATAACCAGTGATGTTTAAACTGCAGTGTACCTGGAATTTCTCACCCCGGTTCATCTGCGTTGATCGAAATTCAGGAGAATCTATAAAGGCACAGGGGTAAATATTATGCAGAAAATGCCCTCGGTAAGACACCTTCATTCTGGAAATAAAAACATATGAAGCAACATTTTAAAGTCATGGAGATTGATTCACTTAATCTAAATTTGGATATGATTATTTACAATAGTAAAACAGTAGGTAACAAGCAAAAATATGTTCATCTTCTGGAATATCAGCCCCAGAGCTACCCTCTTTTCTACCTAAATTTCCACTAATTCCAAGCAGAAGCAACTGCCAGCCAGTTCAAGTTGCTGAACATGGTGTGTATCCTCAAAACGTTGCTATTCAAAATGAAAGACACCTGCAGGGTTTTGCTATGAAGCCAGACCAGGATCAGGCCTCCTTTAGGTAACTAGCTTTACAGTAATGAGCAGCTGATCACTTCAAAAGAAAAACTATGAAGCCTGACATATGAAGCTGCTGTCAACAAAAACTGATTAAAATATTGGCCAGAACTTAGCAAGAACTTCACGATCACTGCCTGGCCATGGGCATTTATTTTATTCTTTCTCACCTGGGTCCTGTCAGCCTCTAGGCAGTGCACCTGCCTCTCTCTGCTTGCATGTACACGTGCAATGAACCAATCCCAATAGGCCTGTTGTTTTAAAGTCTACTGGAAGGATATTTTTTTCTTTCCGTCATACACAACATTTTTTAACCTTGAAGCCTGAGAATTCACTGAGAAGATGAATTAGATATCTAAGACTCAAACACATCTCTCGCTTGTCCTGGAATACACTGCCTTTGTTATTATACAAATATAATTCCCACTACAATCCATGCAGCTCACAAATGGAGATATAATACACTGCCAGTAAGAGACATCACTGTAATTTGAAAACAGTGTCACAAAATAGCCTATACCTATAGACTATTTGGCTGTAGACTATTTGGCTACAGACCATCATGCACTAAAACCAGTAACACTAAAAAAGCTAACAAAACCCCCAATAACTTTCTAATCTATTCAACACAAACCATAAGACTGTACCCAAGCTTTATAGTACCTACTTCCCCTTCAGCAGGATGCTTAGCCTATCATCAACTGATGTTTTATCTTCTGCAGCATAGGCTTGACCTGTCTTTAAAGTCTGAATGTTGCAGAACTGTCCAGTTAGTCTTTGGAAGAGTTCTGGAGGCACATGGAGAGGTTCAAACATTCTCTTGTAAAGGCTGCTAAGCTCCTTCTCTATCTTGATCTAGAATGCAAAATTAAAAGACATCAAAAAACAGATGCATTAATTAAAAAGGGTAAGACTGGATGCATGCTTTAGTTGCTATGTCTGAGGAACATCTTTGTCTTTGTTATGTTCAGACAAGGGAAGAAGTGGTAAACGTATGACATCTATCGACAAACACTGCCTATGACAGAGTGACCAAAACCTTATCTAAAACTAGCCAAGCCAGCACACTGGTGCTTTAAAATGCTGTTCCATCCAAGTGACACATTAAATCAGACACAAGAAGTCTTCTGAGACTTCTGTTGATGTTAACAGCAAATAGGGCTCGGCCCAGAATTACACGGGGAAAATAAAGGCAGGTTACCTGCGTCTTTCACACCACATGCACACCTCATTCTGGCTATTTCTCTCAGGCTCCCCTGGAGTCCCTTTCATCCCTGAGCTTCTTGGCTTATTTGCAGTAGAAAAGCAAGTTGTGTAAACCGAACCCATCACACTGAAACCACACATGATGAGTGAGACAAAAAAACATTGCCAGCTGAACATCCCACATCTAGGAGCCCACCCAAACTCAGGCAGAGGCAATGAGGGAAAGGATGTTGGCTGAAATCCCAAGCCTGTAAGTCTTTCCTGAATGAAAGCAGCAGGGAATGAGACAGTGTCCTATCCTCCCTGAAAGCAGAGGCAGCCTGAACAAAGTCTGCATATTTGCTGGGAGGAAAACAAATGGGAACAATAAGCATCAGATAACAAAAAAAGTATACACAGAACAGAAAATAAGGAAAAAACACCAAGAAAAAAGGCAGGAAAGAAGAAAGAGTCACCACTTCAACAAATGAGACTATTCAAAGTTTATACCATTTCCTCAACTGTTTTGTATTTGAATATTAAAACCAGGGAGCAGAGGAGGCAGCACAGCAACCCAGCAGTCACTTCTAGTTACCTTGTGTCTGGAGGAGGGGGCAAATCTTTAATGATCATGGGAAGCCATAGGCTGTCTGAGGCCCATGTAAGCTTCAATCTGTCAGGTACCTACTTCTCCCTCCTCAGGAGAGCATTATAGGGTGAAAATACTTGTCCTTCACCCCTAAGGGATACATGGATTCCACATCAAAAATCCTCCATTAGCTCTTCTCAGTAGAATTTCATGTGTGTGAAGAACAGTACAACAAGAATAGTGGAAAGTTTTTTGAGGTTTCCTTATTACATTTCAAGTTTATTTAGATACAGAACTGAGCTGAGGCAGAAACTTTCTGGACGTGTGGAATCACATCTGGAGTAATTCATAGACAGTCTCAACCACTGGATGTGGTCCATCCCACATATGGGACACTGAACACCATGGCAACCACCGAAGTGACAATCCTGTGGGCAGAGATGGTGGGTTAATCCCACATAAATAGTATACAGTTCATTACTAAATTTCTAAACATGAGAGGAGGTTGCTTTTGTGACCTTGCTGTTATTTTGTAACTTCTCAGCCTTCAAATTTCCACAAAAGCTGAACAAAAGGATATGCCAAACCTGCAGACTTCATTTTTTACCCAGACAGCCTCAAGTTATGAAAGCTGGAAGCAAGTTTATGAACCACTGTGATTTTTATGCAACCCCATGTGGAATACACACACACCTGTTTTCAAGGGCTTAACATTTAAAATTCTTGTGAGAGAGCTCCTGAAAACTTTCTTTTCCATATGCATATCCAAACTTACTGTTAACTTTGTGTACTGTATCTGTGTACCTTTACAGCCCACAACTGTATTAAAGTGTTGATATTTTTTTATGTTTCAACAAGCATCAATAAGATGTGAATTGCTGCCTGCTCAAATCATTTAAATGACTCTATTAAATTACTCTATCATCATTTTGTAACATATCTCCATACTCCTATAAATTCACCTCTGCCTCAGAAATGGTATCAGGGCTGAAGAGGGCTAGAATACAAACATTCTGACAACGTTAACAATAAAGCTACAGAATCCCAGCATGACTGAGGTTGAAAAGGACCTCTGGAGGTAACTTATCCATACCCCTCTTCAGGCAAGGTCACCTAAAGCAATGTTGCCCAGGTCCATGTCAAGATGGCTTCTGAAGATTCTCAAGGATGGAAACTCCACAACATCTCTGGGCAACCTGTGTCAGTGCTCAGTCACCCTCACAGCAAAATAAAAAGTGTTTCCTCATGTTCAGACAGACCCTCCTTTGTCTGTTTGTGTCCCCTGCCCCTGGTCCTGTCACTGGGCAGGCTCTGGTCCTGTCACCAGAGCCTGGCTCTGTCCTCTTTACACCCTCCGTTCAGGTATTTATACACATTCATAAGATGCCCCAAGCCCTCTCTTCTCCAGGCTGAACAGTCCTGCTCTCATCACAGGAGAGATGCTTCAGTCCCTTAATTAGCTTCATGGCCCTTCGCTGGGCTCTCTCTAGCTAAGTCCAGGTCTCTTTTCTACTGGAAAAGCCCAGACCTGGACACAGCATTCCAGATATATCTCGGCAGTGCTAAGCAAAGGGGAAGGATCACCTCCCTTGACCTGCTGGCAATGGTTTCCTAATGCAGCCCAGGATACTATTGCCTCTCTTTGTTGCAAGGACACAGTCCTGGCTCAGACTCAACTTGCTCACCAGGACTGGCAGGTCCTTTTCTGTGAATCTGCTTTCCAGCTGGTCAGTCCCTGGCATGTGCTGGTGCATGGGGTTGTTCCTCCATTAGTGCAAGATTGTGCACTTGTTGAACTTCATGAGGTTCCTGCTGGCCCATTTCTTCAGTCTGCTGATGTCCCTTGGGATGGCTTTCCAACCTTCTGGTCTATCAGCCACTCCTCCCAGTTTTGTGTCATTAGGGTACGCATCTGCCACATCATCAATGAAGATGTCAAACTGGACCAGACCTGGCCTTGACCCCTAAGCTACACTGCTAGTGTACGTGCCACACACTGGGATCCACAGTACACACCTACAACTAGACTTCATACCACTGGTTACCATGCTCAGCCCAGCCATTCAATCACGTTTCTGTGTCCACATCCAGCCCATACTTCCACAGCTTCTCTGAGAGGACTTTATGGGAGATAGTGTTGAAAGCTTTACTGAAATTCAGGTAGACAATATTCACCACTCTCCTGTCATCTGTCCTGAAAGTCATTTAATTGTAGAATGTCAACAGGTTGGTTAAACATGACTTCTCATTGGTGAATCCATGCTGACTGCTCCTGATCACCTTCTTGTCCTTCATGTGCAATGAAATGGCTTCTAGGATTAGTGATTTCATTACCTTCTCAGGGATTGAGGTGGGTTGGCAAGCCCCTGGGTCTTCTTTCTTGCCCTCCTTTAAGGAGGAAGTGGCACTGGCTTTCCTCCACTCCTGGTCACTTCCATTGTTCAAGGATTGTCAGGAATGGCCTCACAGTGACATCAGGATTTGCAGGTACCTGCCTTCAGGGCTCATGGACTTAGACATGCCCAGTGTGTCACCTGACCTGAAGTTACACTGGTTTTCCACTGAATTAATTACTAATTCAATCTTACACTAGTGACTACATTTATATGAAACCCAGGTTTTTGATTTCCTGTATGTTCCTTTTGCCACCTTCTTTAACATCTCTGAGGACATCTACATGGACAGAACAAGGACAAAATATTAAACTGATGAGAGAAATTGTATTGTGTTGGGGATTGCCCTAAAGTGTTTGATTTCAAAACACAGTTCATACACCTGTGAAGTCAAAGACATGTAACCTTTGCCAGCAGGTTCTTCTCCCTCATTTTTCACAGCCATACCAATTTAATTTGCACCTCTTTTTATAAATGACCACTGTAACTCAAAGAAAGATAAATTCCTTTCTCAGATGAGTATTTAAATAGTTCTCAAGGCTCTTGAATCCAAAACAATGCATACAGACATGAGGACAGGATTTGGCCCTGGAGCATTAATGCAATCTCTTTACTAGTGCATAATTCAGGTTTCATGATCTTCCTGTAATGTGTAATACTTAAAAGAGAAAGCAGGCATAACCGCTTTTGTAAAGTATGATCAGGTTGGACAACACAGATACACTTTAGTTGGTCTCCCTCGTAACAGACTATTCACTCCTTGCAAGTGCAGCTGACTGCTCCTCCAGTCATGCCTGTGGGTCATATACCAAATGAGCCAAATGGGTAGGTGTAATGTTTTGTTCAGCAGTGGTTGAAATATTCTGTGATGCTGCCAGAGTTTCAAGTCAGAGCTCTGCAGAGACACTGATTAGGCTCTTGCAGCTTCCACTCAGACTAAAAAAAGCCAAATCTGCTCTAAGGAGTCAAGACCACAGAAATTATCTTCTGACTGGAAAGAAACTCACTGCTATTCTGCATGCTCCATTTAATAAAATAAATAATTAAAACATGAACATACCATTTTATATTCATTTTGCAATATGACTAACTTGTGATTATTCTTCATTGTTTTCTTTCCTTAAAAGCGTAATTTGTGAGGATGTCTACATAAAGGTCATTTTGAGATAGGCAATACAATAGTTGCAGACAAAAAAATCTCATTCAAAATGAGTTCTTGAGATCCTTTTTCCCCCTTCTCAAGCTTTCTATAGGAAAAGTACTTAAAAACAGCCTTCAAGATCATAATAAACAGAATGTGTAAGACAGCTAAAATGCATTACTACCAGACATCAAAAAGACATGGCATCACTTGAAGTAAGCTTGTTGATTATAGTCTGAAACAAATAAATTCATATATTGTTGTGGATATTATCCTGTTTCCATATAATTTCAGCTATTATTTAAATCCACATAATTTACTAGCTATATAGAACTCAGTTTTCAGGGAAGCTGAGTATCCCCAGTTCCCAGACCACATCTGTAATGGTAGGAATACAAACCTTTTGATAGCCAGACTCCAGTTCTCCATTGTTTTCCAGTTTAGATTGGTATGAACTAATTTGAGGGTTTTTTCCTGATACTGCTAGAGAGCAGCAATGAAGTGCATCTCACCTATGACTGCAGCACTAGGTTAATAATTTACATGGTTTGTGTAGGCTTGTTTTCTAGCCACTGAAGAAGGATGGCACTGTCACACCTTAAACAGATACTGAGTGGGTGGGTTGAATCACTCTGGATGGAGATGGATGAAGTGAAACAAGATGATTCCAATTCCTATTTCGTGATGTAAAGCTACTGTCACAGAAGCATAGACCACAAATAGTTATTTGTACTCTTTGAAAGTACTCTTAATTGTTATACTTGAGTATGATACGCTTCTTCTTAGAGGCCTTTCATTTCTGGGAGCACTCTTGTTCCTAACAATGTAGTGTTTCAGGACAAGTATCAGAATATGACTGAGACTACCTCAAAAAACAGCCAATGCCTATGTAGAGAACTTCCCAGTTAAAGCTATTTGATATTCTTCTTACATTTCACTGTTTCTATTTCCTGCACGTTTCTGTTTTTAGGAAGCAGCTCTACATTGCAGAAGTTGAAGAAAAAGAGAGATTCAGTAAAGGCATCTGTGGTGGTGGTTTCATGGTTTTACTTTGTTCTCCATCCAAAATTATTGAGATTGTCAAGGCTTAGTCGTTTAATTTTTACAGTCAACAGAACTGACATTTAGTTTAAGGTTGGTTCCTTCTAGTAGAAATTCCAGTCTCACCAGAAGGAGCATCTGGGAAGTTTACACATGGAAGACTGTTCTTGCAAACTCACTCATTCCATTCAAGAACTGGACTACGAAGCTGGGGTCAGTGATCTGCACTATGTCGATGCTGAAAGCTTTACCACCACAGAAAGGTATTTCATAAGAGCAGTGTGCAAATCTATAAAGGTCAGGTTTAAATGGCTATGACCTATGTGCCAGAGAGGTTTTTCCTGGCCAAACAGGAAAGAGGAAACTTAAAATTCAACTACGCCAATTTTGCTGTTCATGAAATTGGTGGAATACCATATTTGATCATAGTGGGATGTGCAGAGTCAACATATGCATACAGGAAACTCTTCTAAATATAGTTCTGCCCAAATTATGTGCCTTGAATAAAAGTTGTAAAGGAAAAAACATGGAAAAACCCACCATTTATCATCGACTATGCTCCTTTTCAGGTCTTTGTGAAAAAAAGATCTTTCTGTATCATCTCACTGTTGGACAGTGAGCTGAGAACTAAACCTGAAGAGGCACTAGTGTTAAGGTTTGCATTGGGGGTGTTAAAAAAAAAGAACAAAAAAGACAACCCAATTTAATGGTAATTGCATCGACTATTACATATTATGCCAATTAAAATAGTATAGTATTTTTCATGTAATGTTCATAAATACTGTAATTTCTTAATGGAAATAAAGTTACTGAAATTATTATAGGTCTTAATATACAAACACCACTAGGTGGCTAGTCTATTAGAACTAATTCTTGGCTAAGCCTTAAGTTGTAAAGGTCATGTAGCCCCGCAGATGGTAAACTTTGAGTGAATCTGTGCTCTGTACTGGGGGAACACCACTGTAGGTAGAACCCTTCCTTTGTTAACATGTGTACTCAACTAGACGTACTCAATTTATCAAATTGCTGCAGACACATGCAATTTAACCTTTAGCCTCTTTTTATATGCTGCTCTTGCCTCCTGGAGTTTGTTCTGCAGTTGTTTTTGGCCACACTGGTTAAGTTCTATCATCTTTTTTTCATTTCCTTCATATTCTTCTTCCTTTGACACTTGCTCTGGCTCTGCTTAACTTACACAGCATTTGAAAAAATGATGATGTGGATGAAGTTACCAAGCCATTATCCATATTTGAGAAATCATGTCAGTCCAGTGAAGTCCCCACTGACTGGAAAAGAGGCAATAGAACCTCAATTTTTAAAAAGAGGGTAGATTTAGGTTAGATATTAGGAAAAAATTCTTCACTGTGAGGGTGGTAAGACAGTGAAAGAGGTTGCTCAGAGAAGCTGTGCCTGCCCCATCCCTGGCCATGTTCAAGCCAGGCTGGACGGCAATTGGAGCAACCTGGTCTAGTGGAAGATGTCCCTGCTCATGGCAGGGGGGTTGGAAGTGGATGATCTTTACAGTCCCTTCCAACCCAAACCAATTCTATGATTCTATGTCCACCAAAGTCTAATTCCCTACTCTTCCTCTACCATTCTCTGCCTATAATTCTAGTTTATTCTGTCTAATATCTGTTGTGTCACACCACATGTGCATGGTGCAGTGTTACCACGATTCTGCTATGGTTACACAGCCAGTGGGAAAGGGCTACAGAAATGGAAATGGAGAGCAAAGTTAAAGGCAGATCATCCTGTCCTCCCTCTCTACAGGTAATTTTCTACCACCTTTAGCAATTGCCAATTTATCAGTGAAGTTTCATGACCTTATATAATTCCTCCTTTTTAACCTCCCACCTACAGAGTACTTCACTCACTTCTACCATTTATCCTAACTCCTATAAATAATTCTGCTAACAAATTTACTACAGGATTTACTGAAAACAGATGGCACTTTCACAGAATAAAGTCTATATCATAATGCTAACATAGTTTTTAATATACAACTGCAAACATTGTGTCCTCTTCCCAAAACACCCCTTCATTCTCCAATAACCTCCTGTTTAGATTTTTGGAAATTGTTGGATGGGTATGAACCCAAGGACCATTACCCATATTCAAAGGACACATTCCACAACTACTTTTTTAAAATACAATTAAGTCTTAAGGCTTGGTTTTCTAGGAAAATGAGTTTATATCAGCTGTCACTCCTGCCTTTTGCAGTAAGGTTTTACTTTGCTAGCCAGTTCCTGTCCCATCTGACAAGCCTCAAGATAATATTAAAAAGCTAAATTGGTGGGCAGATTGAGGGAAAGCAGAACATGCTAACTTGGATGCTTCAGTGAGGGCAAAGAACACAGCATGAGCTCATCCCATGTTAAAAAACAGAGTACCTGCATAGGATATCTAACTGTAGACACAAACATGAGTAGTCTGGCTTCACTGGCTTTACATTATCACAACTGTTATTTTGTGTGGTGCACTGGACAGCATGGACACTGCTAACTAGTAGAAATACAGCGCAATTTCACCATGCTGCTGTGTCTTCATGATGACATAAATAGATTTAATAATCTTTAATAAGAGCATTTGCAATACAAACTGAAGAGGAATATACCCTTTAACTGGGAAGACTACTTGTTGAGAGCAATTACTAGAAATATTTACTATACATCTATAAAGGTGTGGTAGTAGATCAGTCTAACTAGTTTTAAGCTATTTCCTAGCCAAGACAGAAGTCAAGCTTTATGCTGCCTTGCCAGGAAATGAGAAGGTTGCTAATTGCCTAGCTGTCCTCTTACACAGGCTGTGTTATCTTGGTGAAGAGCTTATTTACAACTAGGTTTTGGAGGTTTTCGGTGTTGTTTTTTTTTTGTACCAGCTCTTACACACTCGCAGAATGTGCTTGATTTTGGGCAGAGGCAAAGATAATGTAATTATTCTGCTGATAATGTAACCCCATATATACTCCTGTAATCTTCACATCATAAATCTATCCGCCTTAGATTTTGGAAGCTACAAAATGTAGTATTAACCTTTCAAACACTTAGTGTTTCATTAATATTTGATTGGCACATAATAGCAACTAGTACATTAAGATTACCTAATTCTTATGTGCATATACCAACAGAAGACTAGGTTGCTAATCATTTTTTAGAATCAGAATATACCTCTGGTGAATAAAACTAACCGATTTATTTTCTATTGCATATACGTTTAGTCAAAGACAGGGCAAAGAATCCTGTGGCTTTGGTATACATTTCACATATATTCTTACAGTGCATTTGACAAAAGTTATCCCAATGCATCCTTCTGAAAGCAACAACAGGAGTTGCAAAATCCTCAGACATGACCCTCTGACTCTTAAAACACAATAAATGCACTAAATGGAATAAAAAGTAGTATCATCTTAGTTAATACTGCTCTTCCCACAACTTACTCTATTTTGTGCCTCACAGATGTTCAAAAAGGGTAGTTGTATCTTACTTACCTTTCATCTGCATTTGAAAGGAATGTGACTGTACAGAATATATGGGCTAAACCACTTGTCAAAGCAAAGCAAAGAGTGTGAAGGCCATTTATAAGTGGACATCAGCATTTGTTTCTCTGTTGAAATAACTGTCTATTATGACATTTTCATTTACTGGTCTCCCTTCCCACCACAAAGGATTTCTAAGACTTAAAAGTGAGGTAGGAAAATTTGATCCATCCCGAACTCTCAATTTAAAAAACCTACTGTCCTGGAATGCTCTATTTTAAGTATCTCAGTAGGATTTTATTTCAGCAGACCTGTATGCATGTACTCTTGCGGTTGGGAGGGTGGGGAAAATGACAAAAAACCCCCACATACCAACCCCAAACTGCTATGTCTGCTCTTCCTGCAATGGAAGAGTGTAACACCTTCCTTATCACCAAAAACAAACACAATGGCCAAAACCAGCCAACAGTAACCTCTAAAGCCAAATTATTTTTCAAAAATATGGATTTCAGAGAAATAATGATGTACTGCCTCAGATCATACTTATAGTCTGGATCCCTTCTGAAGCAGATAACTTTGTCCAAAGGAACTCCTGTCTAATTCAAGAACTGCTGTGTAGTTCATAGGTTTGCACACAAACATGGGCAAAACTTCCTCTTCCTTGCATCTTACCAGACTGCTTGTGCAATTTAGCTGTTATACATACCGGTCTTCTTTTATACACTAGGTATATGAAATGTAAAAGGTTGACAATCAAAAACACGGAATTCCAGATCATTATGTCCAAGGCACAACGATAGAGTGTAGCCCAAATGATGAACAATGCACATCCTGTAAAAAGTAAAAAAACAAACAAACAAACAAAAGTCAAATTTCACTGAACAATAAACACATTCGTACAAAGCCATCAAGAATGTGTCCACTGTGTGTAATTATGCTGAAAAGCAATATATTCTACAAGCTTTACCACAGCTAGGATCTGTGGATCAATACGTGCAGTGGTAACAGAGCTAATCACTGCAATGGTACAAACAGGCACTGAGAGCGGGTTGACAGCAGACTGCAGTCCTATTGCACAGGACTGCAATACTAAAGCAACAATAATTCAGATCAGGACCGGGGAAAGCATAAAGACACAGCCCACAGTGGTCTGTTACTAAAATGAAGCAGAAATGTGATGGGGAAAAATTGTATCTTAAGTACAAAAAATAATAATTAGGCAGATCATAAAACTGTATTACCAGTATTGCATTAATTAGGCAAACAAGAGCCTAGAAATTAATGCTCGCTGTTCCCATCAGCAATATTCATATCCAACTATTGAGCAGCAGTTGCACAAAAACCTCCTAGAGCCATACACAGATATTTTTGAATATCTAAAGGAAGTATCATTGCTGCATTTTGACAAGGTCACAGCAGGAACCTGAGATCTCTCGTAAGGCATCAAAGAGAAAATTTCAAACGCTTACTCTATTTTTGGTTGCTTTACTTTGAATAATGACAATTGCTTTAGAAGATAGGGCATGCTGGATGATTAAGCATTCTCTTTTTAGCCTACAAAGACAATACTTATCAAATGATAGATTATGCATCAGTGACTCTCTCCCATATGAGCCTACTGCCCAATAGAGATGGCTGTAGAGGTCACAGATATATTTTCCCTTAGGTTTCATGAAAAGACAATAAGAAAAAGGTGCCAAATTAGTGTCCCTTCCCCCTTTCTCCCTGAAGATGACACTGAATTCATGGGCTCAGTATTACCTATTCTGTCTCAGTTGCTACCTGGCCAGGCAGCACTTACATATGGATCAGAAAGATCAAAATACAGTGATTCTTGATCAGCTGGTTAATTACACTACAAGGGATGGGAGGATATGAGGTCTAGGAGTATTGAAGAAGAGCAATATTGTGGAGCAGCACAGAGGTGCAGCAAGGCCAAAGGAAAGGGAATAAATTGCTAGCAACCAGGCTTCATTACTTATGCTGCCCAGAGTAAAATTGCTTCTAACTGCCACCTCAGCTTGCAAAACTCCAACTCTGTATCTGCTCAAAATACAAGACCCACAGATCAAAGTGGCAGGCCAGCGAATGTACAGCTCCTTCTGCTTTTAAAACAAGAACTACAAAGATAGAAGGCCTTGGAATGCTCAGACCTTTGGTCATCAGTACAACCTATTACACGAATGAGCATTCTCACTTAAAAATAGTTAGGCATGCCCTATGTTTTGATACACTCCGGTTTATCTTTCTTAACACTGTACTGATTTACTACTGTTCCTTTGATCATAAAGGCCTTGTCCCAAAGTACAGGAGCCTTGAAATAGCTGTGGGACTGCAAGAGTGTTACAAATGAAACCATTCTTGCTCAGTCTCAAGCATGCCAAATTTAGTTGTTCTTCTGGAGTGAAATTTTGGTGTCACAAGATGCCTACAGTGGTGGAGTAAATATGACTAACTTCAGAGTAACACAGACTGCATTCTGTATCAAATATATGCACTTCTAAGCTGGCAATGAAAATAACCCTAGTGACCCACAAGGGCCACATGTTTGAACCCACATTCAAAGAACAGATGGGCTGACAAATGACATCAAGCTTTCCAAGGAAAATCTCGCCTACTGCAGTCATAGTAAGCCAGTGCACCAGCAAATACACACTCTCAGTACTTACTTGAAACCTAAAATTAAGGTCTTAAGGATACATAAACTTAACTAATATGTGGAATTTAATGAATTTTAAGCAGCCAGTCACCTCTGAAGTAAACAGGGCCCACTTATTTCAAACTGACATCTTCATAGGTTTGAAACTGTTACACCTGGGCACATATAGCCATTCTAGAAAAGGTATGTCAGGGTCAGAAAAGGCCCCACTTACACCAAAACCACCACCAGCAGAGTACAATGAACACGAATACAGGCTGCAATTTCACCATAACCTGAAGGGACCAGCTGGTCATGAATTGCTATTTCTGTCACAGTAAGGTCACAAATACCTCCAGAATAATTCTCCTACCTACGGTGAGCAGGCCTCTCAGAAAAATCATGTGAAAATTCAGAGTAGTTGGAATAACCAGTCCAACTGCAAAGCAAGTATTTGCCACGTGGAAAACAAGATGATGAATCTCCTTCCAATTTTCACATGCAGTCTCATTAAAAGGCACAAGGGTGGCATTTTTTAAGTCTGGAATAAAGCCTAGAGGAGTAACTGTGACTGGGCTCATTACTGTAGTATTCATCTTGGAGACTCCTGCAACAAGACAAAACAGAAAATAAAAACACCGTCCAATAAACTGAAATATACCAGACATACAGTTGGATTTTAGGGCTATTTTCTTTCTTCCCAGGATATATTTTCCATTATCACTCATGGAAGAAATTTACAAGTGCTTTAAAAGGGTTAGATCTTTTACTATCTCTTTTACTGAAGTGCTACGCTAGAAGAATGGTACACTTCAAAATTTGAACTGCATGCACACAAACAGTGCTGTCTGAACACTGTCTCCTATGACTGTCACTGCTCAGTGAAACATACTATGTATTCTTCCTAGTTCCACACAAATAAAAATCTCATTCTGGTCTACCATTTACTGAATAGGTCCACGATCCCAGGCAAAGTAAATGTTTAAGAGAACTTAACAATCTAGATGAGAATTGACATAAAGGAAAAAGTTTATGTAGTGTAAGTCTCCTTTACGGCATACAAAGTCATTCTTCTAAATAAGGAAAGGAAGGCCTTAAAGGAGAAACACATGCTGTTTAGTTGATTGAAAAAGGCAACAAACGATACAGAAATGAAAAAAAAAGTCTTATCTTACCTTTTGCCTTTCTTGCAGGATAATTTGGAGGTCTCCTAAGCCACATATCATCTTGCGCACATTAACAGAGTGGGCAAAAAACAGTAATTCCCAAGCCATTTATAAGAACAGTAAATAAAAATTACCATTTCTCCTCCTAGTTGATCAGATGCTACTAAATCAGAAAAGGGGATGCCCAGGACGCTAAGTTAAGACAAGGTTGCTACTCTTTCAGGAAAATCCCTGATTACCTAGTATGAGCAAGCTTGCAAGACCTGTGGAACTCCCAGAGAAAATGAGACCAGTTAAAAAAGTTGATTTCTAATCTAAAAAACACAGGTTTTTGTTGTTGTTGTTGTTGTAATAATGAAAGCAGCGTATTTTCATTTCACACCAATTGAAAGGAGAAAAGACATCTGTGGGCAAATATTTTCCCAATACAAAGCACAAGATTCCTATTAAAAAGACCCTACAAAATGAAACTGGAAGATTTGAAGGCACTAACTTTAAAATCTTAATAGGTAGTCTGTTTAGAGAACTGCAGCCAGTGTTACAAGCACTCTAGAAGGTGTTCTCAACCCAGAGCAGTTCCCAGCCAGAGGAACTTGAATGTTCTTAGACTGTCAGAAACAGAGGAGAACCCCACCTCCAGCAAGGCATGTATGGTCTCCCACTGCCACAGCAGCAGAAATTACATGGGAGTTTGGCTTGAGTCTCATTAATTAAATATATGCACATGTCACTGAGCAAACAGGCTCTGCAACATGCAACATGGTGGGATTTGTGTTCAAGTAAATTCTGTAGAGACAGTGCATGTCGCTGCTGTGTGTGCTTGCTAACTGTGATGTAATTCATCTGCTCAGCAGATGATTTTGAGTCATGGTTAATACATTCAGTATCTCCTGCAGATTGGAATACTCTCTGCTACTTGAGTGCTTCTTGGGCTGTAGAGTAATTTTGATTGCTTCATCCATCCTTTTTATCACTTTCCCCCTCCCCCCAATTATTTCTGTGCAAGATATAAGTAAGCTGGACTGAAATTCTAAAATTCATCAGTCTTGCAAACCCCTGTCTAAAGTAGTGAGAAGAAAGAAATCGGAAAGAAAACCTCAGCCCTCTAATAGTTCCTCTTCAATGTCCAGAACCTGTCATAGCTAAGGCATGCTTACAGAACGTGTAGAGGCATCTTGCAGGATCAAACACCAACATGGAAATAGTGCTATCCATATCTGGATAGAAATTTTTTTCAAAGGAAAAAAAAAAACAAACCCAAACCAAAAACCAAAACACAACCTAATTCTTACAAAAATGCATTAAAAAAAAAAAAAAAGCTTACTTTCCTCTTTTTATTCCTACAATAGTTATTCACAAAGGTTAATTAAAATGTGGGGGTTTTGGCATAAGCAAATTATACATGAAATTGTTACCAATAATGATGGTAACTAAACAAATTCACAGTCAGGTAACACACAGGCATCATCCAAACATGTTCCTATTTTCTTTCAGCTCTTTGGCTTGAATGTAGCAGTCAAGGCATGAGAGCAGTTTCACTGACCTGACAAAGCTGCTTGCACACAGAGCCAAAGTGGGAGCCTGTATGAGGCTGCAGGACTGGCATTTTAATGTGCTCATAAACAGAAGGTAATTGATAACTGGGGAACTGTGTTTGCACTCACCTTACACACGTTTCACCACTGTGCTCCTGTGGTTTTCAAACAATACATACTCCCTACACTGGAACAGCAGGATCTCTAGATCTTTTGCAAAAAGTCAGCAGCAGAGTTTCTACCTAAATTCAGTCTGTCACTGCCAATAAAAGCACCGCTTAACCTGTCAACAGAATGAGTAAAGACAACCAAACTCACAGCTACAGAACCAGCTGTAACTCCATCAGCTCATCTCGAGATCAGGGTGGGCTCCAAGAAGTAAATTCAGCTGCATCTGAATGCAAATTGACAAAGCTTTCAGATTGCTTGATTTTTTAATGACAAAATTTTGCACTGCATTGCTGGGAGGCTGGAATATACCTTATGCTTTACAACTTGTAAATCATCATAAATTTAAGACTGGAACCCAACAAGCTAAATTAACAGCACAGCACATGACAGTTGCATTCTTCTCACACTCCACCAAAACACCACTCCCCTCATTATCCACGGATACAGATGCCACAAACCACCAGCCATAAACTGGCATAATGGGAAGATGTTTCCTTCAACAAGCGCTGACCAAGTCGTTTAAAGCATCCACTGCTGTACGAACAGGATGTTCAATGCTTTTGAAAGCCTGGACCACCTATTGGGTTGCCTAAATTAGAACCCAGGAACCTAAATCTACCCATCTCCATTTTTACAAACTTCATCTTTTAATACCTTGAAGTCCTTTTATTAAGACATTTGAGATTAACTTATTACTCACAAACAAACATTGCAGTGGTGCTAAAGTACTGGAAAACAACGGAAAGCTGCAGAAGTTCTCTGTCATGATGGTATTTTAAAGCTGGCAGAAACAGATTGACGCTATCTGCAAAATGACACAAGGACAGATGTGACCCTGGCTCTGAATTTCAACTAGGGAGGCTGCTTGAGAATCAACAAAAAAGGCAGGCATGCAGGGTTACAAGCTGCAACCCAAAGTGTTTGTCCACAGGTAACACCATAAAGACACATGCTCAAAGTATTATTTCTTTACTTCCAACCCCCACTGTTGGTGTTGAAAGAATTATAAAAAAAATATTTACTGTTCCACAAATGAAAAAGCAACTGTCATTTCCTACCCCCTGCTACCTCACAGAGCCAAAGATTAAGTTTTTAAGTACAAGCCTTTAAAACTTTAATTTAGGATTATATCTACTAAGGAATAATACAGCACAGGACTTTGCGGTCTTATGCTTAAGTCTTCAATAAATTAAGACACGTATTAATATCAGGAGTTAAAAATACATCCAACAGTCAAATAATTTTTGAAAAACTGGGAAAATAGTGTCAACTGAAATGAAAGTTTTGTGAAGCAAAAGACAAATAATTAAAGAAAATGTATTTTAATATCCTTTTTTTTTTTTCATCGCATGGATTTAGATTTGCTAAAGTAGGAGTCTGAAAACTCAGCTGATTGAAAATCAAGCCACTTTGTTGGTCAAACAGGAAAACAAAACAAAACCAACCAACCAAAAACCCAACAACCAACAAACACCCCACTCACTGCTACTTTAATAGTAAATTTCTGGGAAATAGGTATAGTTAAGAACAAAGCCTATTAATTTCCTTTTTTGGTGCATGAACCTGAGAGTTAAGGTACTCTATTGTGGGTTTCAGTCTGAAAATAATGAACTCTTGGAATGTAAATAAAGCAAACTTATTGTAAGATTTTTAATATGCTCAGGACATCTTTATAGAAGAGGCCAAACTTCTGAAAGCCATTTCCAAAAGATTCAGTCCCTAAATCTTCAGACATGAAGACACCTTTAAAATTAACAGGGGTTCATGGATACCCACACAACATTCACAGAGGACAGACACTGCAGAGAAGTTTAGAGCACATGGTTCTAAGAAAACAGGTCAACCAAGCCAACATAGGCACGCAGTCCTGCTCACGTCATCCACTTTAGTGAGATTATTTGTATCCCAGTGGTAAAGTAGCTTTACTGTTCAACATCACTCAAGTGAGCCTCTTAAAGCTTTGCTTGAGAATGTTTGTATAACTTTACAGTCATTGCAACTCTACCGACCATCATTTATGTAGATGGATTCTGTGAGTCTGAAGAGAAAAAAAAAAAGTAGAAATCAAGCTCGACAATTGCTTTCTTTAGATCATACCTGCAGGGCTTGAACTATTCTTCTATGGTCTGGCAGCACAAAAGCTGCATAGAGAGTTTGGACAATCTGTAATTTCTTTGCTTTTGTGAGCTGAAGACAAACTATTACTGCCAGCATAATAAAGTTAATTACAGTTTAAGTTACCAATTTCCTTCCTACAATGAAGTAGGAGTGAACGGGAAAGTGCTGTAGGAAAAAACGTGTTTCAATACACTCTTTAGGGCAAAATAATTTCCATTAAATGAGTCACGCTCTGCAGAAATTTGTTACTCTTGTTCTGCTTTATTCTAGAGAAAATTTAACAACATTTTCACTATGCACAGTCAACAGAAACACCCATACCATGAGAAAGACTCTTATGTACACTCCCCACAGCAGCTGCGTAGCCATGCTATGGCAATGGAAGTTTGTTCCCTGCACTTCAGTTCACGCTCCCTTTTGATTACAGGGTTCACGGAAGTTTGGGAAGGGGTGCAGCCACGGCTGGCACCCCCAAACCCATTTTCCACCCCAACCTCTGAGACTTCATTTTAGCCCACAACGTGCAAACACCAAACCCACCGTTTATACATAATATTACTATCATAAATAATTATATTGTTAGAATATTATTATAGCTAATAATAATTATTGTTATT